ATCTAGGGTGTAACAGGAAAGTCAAAATAGTAGCTGAATATGGTTTATATTTTGATGATAAACCCAATGGGCTGTGGATTCAAAAAGTAATGTAAATGCATTCGTGTTTGCATATAAGCAACTCAATAAATCAAGATTCTGATAATTGAAATGAGCAATGTTAGAGGAGAATTTTTTAATTAAAATATTTTTAGCAATTCACAAAAGATAATGAATATGTTCATGAGAAGTTGATAAGCATCTATATCACATATTAATTCTTTTTATTCCCCTATCTCTTCTCTGCTCCTCCTTTCCTTCTATCCTGGGACACCCTTCCTATCTGCAAAAGGTATTTTTAGAATTCTGTTTGGAGAAATCAGAATTTTACTATGAACAGTCATTAACTCAATGAAATTCTAAATATATCCACTGTAGATATAATTGGATGTACAATTTGGGTAGGCAGAGATGTGGGTGTGATGGTTATTACAAGAAAGTTGAGATTCAAAATCATGGAATTTATTGATATCACTGGGAAAGGAAGATAGATAGGTAGATAGATAGATAGATAGATAGATAGATAGATAGACAGACAGACTGACAGATAGGCTATTTCTGTCTATCTGTCTGTCTATTTGTGTGTCTGTCTGTCTGTGTGTCTATCTATCTGTGTGTCTGTCTGTCTGCCTATCTATCCATCTGTCTATCTATCGAGAGGGAGGAGAGAGAGAAAAACAAGACCCAGAATTATGACTAATGCAGCACCATTAGATCCCAAATTTAACATTTAATATGCTTAAAAGACAGAAAAGTAAAGGCACTTCCCTGAGCTTTGGAAGTGTAGGTCACTCATAGAGTTTTTCTCTAATTTGCACAGGTCCCCTGTTTTCTTTTCCAGCACTGCAAAATAAATAAATAAATGTAATGATATTTTAATATGTGTTTTATCAAATCTGATATCGGTACACGGTAGCTCAAGTATATCTGTTTAATTGTAAATGTTGAATGCTGCAGAAATCTTCTAGGTTTTAGAACAGTTAAAATTGGAGGAAATTTTCTTTCAATAAAGACTCAATTCATTTCTTACTCTGGATAATTCTACTGATCTGTAAAACCAAGAAATAGAATATAAAATGATTGTGAAGAACCGTTTTTTTTTCCATGTAATTTTGCTCTTATTCAGAAAAGAGGCTTGGAAGACAATTGCTCGAGGAATACACGCTAGGAGTAGAGATCTGGTGGCTGTTTCTATTTTCTTAGATATGAGAAACAAGACATGGAGTATCCTTTAGTTAAATATGGGAACTCATTAACATATAAGTCTCAAGCAAAACATGTGTTATAATTTAAGCTGCAAAATATGCTTTAACTAAAAATCCTCTATCAATTTTTCCAAGTTAATTGTATATAAGGATGCAAGAGTAGGTACAGGAAGACAAAAAGGGAAATGAGCTGTTAATTTGTAGAGATTATGGAAAATGTGGTTACACTTCAGTTGGAAAGCTGAACATTTGGCTTCCATTTACCTAAATCCTTAGGGGCTAAGGTATATGCATTTATGTACAAGATAATATGTCTAGATGTGGGTGTGTGGATGCATCTATCTATTTGTATATTTAGAAAAAGATCTTTAATTGACCAAGAAAATCAATTAGGTTTATAGAGTTTGCAGTCATTGTTTGTTCAGATGAATCAGAGTTATATCTGCCAACCAGAGATTCATTTAGGGAAATAAACCAAAGTTACACTTTATCCCAGACACTAAACTGATGAATGCATATAATCCAGGGTGATCATGTGAAATGAGTTTTAAAAGTTGATTTTCCCAGTCAGTGAGGAAATGTGTTAATGAACAAAGGTCAAGACTAAAGGCTCACATAAAATTGAAAGATAAATGACAACAAAATAGTTTTATGAATTGAGGCTGCAAAGGATAAACTGGAAACACTTAAAGAACATGTTGGATGATTAAAATTAAATTCAGTTTACTAGGTCTGGTTTGTGAAGTAATGTATTACATTATAAATCTTGAAAGAAGAAACAATGAATTTTTTTTATTATCAAACTTTATGATTTAAAACAAATAACACAAAAACTTCTGAGAAGCATTTAGCAGAAATTAGGTGGATTTGAAGTAGATCGGAATACTTTCAGAGTTGAAACTGAGAAAGATTCGTCTTCACTGGATCATGAAATAGTTGTTTAAAATAAGAGATAGCGTCACAAAAGAAGAGACAGGATGCTTACAAGATAACGGATGACAGATTTCAGGTGATAAGAAAAATGCCACATTGAATCTACTTAGTTGTCGAAAGACTGGATGGCCCAGAGAGCTGCTGCAGATGCGCAGGAGCCTACAGAGGTACAGGAAAAAAAATCACATGAAGTGGGAAAACCACTGTTTCTGAGGAGTTCCAGCACTCTGTCAGCTCCAACCTGAATACGTGTACACATTATTCATCCTAACTGTGACTTGTTCATGGATCTTTGTTGATTATTTTGAGAAAAAAAATGTAGATGAAACTTTGAAATCTAAAAATTATAGACATCTTGCAAACAACAAATATGCGGAGAAGTGACATCCTCTTGAAGTTGGTGACCCTGAACCAGCAGGTGAACCTATGAAGACTATCACAAGAAAATGCTCACTCTTCTACTTTTGGGAGCTTAAAGTTTTTAAGGAAAGTATCCCCAGAATAGAAAATAGTTCTCATCTCCATTAAAGGTGCATAAAGTGCTTTACAAAAGGCATCTGTTGAGTATTTTCTAGGATGCTTTTAAATGTAAATATGCACATTTAGACCTTGTCCTAAAATACATTGTTTTACAGGCTTTTCTGTAGCCTCAAGACATTAAGGGTGAAAGCAAAAAGGTGGCACATTCAAAAATTATCAGTTAAAATTCAGGTAAAGTTTATCTATTTGTAACTATAACAGAAAAAAAGATTGCACATATTTTTTATTCCCAAAAGAAAAAGAGTATAGCACATTTATTTGCTTTTTAATCATGTTTGACATTAGAACACATGTTCCTCAATTCCTTTGGATATATCACATATCTATAATAATTTTCACATTAACAAAGAATATTCTTGTTGTATACTTCAGTGAATTTTGATATTCCTTCATCCTTTAAAAAAATCCTCAGTGTTTCCCTTGGGCTCTGTACTGAAGAAATCACTTGAAGAAAATAAGATTCACACTTCTTTTTTACTATTAGACTGTTACCACACATTTTAAAAGATTATTCTTTGTGTTTGCAATTCAAAAGCAGACAAACAACTCATTTAAATATCTTGCAAGGAACATAATTTCTTGATTTCTTCAGCAAAATGGCTTTAAAAAGATTCGGTCTCAAACATGCTCTGACAGCAAGAGGAAAACTAACAGGATTCAGAGTAAGCGAACAACCGATCATCAAAGCCTTTTATACATCTAGTTCGCCCCCTAATGGTGGCAAAGCGAAAGAACAAATAGAGACGTTATTTCACATTTCACCAATTACATATCCTTGAAAGAAAACTTCCTCCAGTTGAGTAATGTTCACTATGTTTCATACAAGTAACTAAATGAATTAAAAGTAATAAAAGTAACAGACATTGCTAAATGCCTGAGCATTAAATGACAACACCTTTATCTTGCCGTGAAAAATAATTATAAATGTTTGATATTAATCTTTCCTTAAACTTACAGTAAAGATGAAGAAATTAATGAAACATATACTGTATAATGTAACTCAACTCAGTAGAATCTTGTGCAGATTTTTACTTGAAATTATGACTGAGTAACTAATTTATTTAATAACTAAACAAATCTCAGATACCTTTAACTTTAGATATTCGTAACCCTACATGTAGTATCTGTTCAGATCATTTCATCATTGATTTTGAAATACCTAATGCAAGAAGAAAGCTCTGCACCCAAAAGCATTTTTAACTATTTTCTTCTGAGAAACCATACAGAGTGCATATCCCTATTATTCAGGAAAATCAGGAGGACTCTGAACTCAATGTATGAGTTTGGGGAGTGGGAACTACATGAGATTTTCTTCCTTCTGAACGGACATGCCCAGTTTTTAGTGGCAAAAAAAAGAACATCCCAGGGGAATAACTTGATGTAAGGGTGGAAGTCAGGGAATAATGCAAAGAATAGCTTGCAGCATCAGGAATGAATTCAGAATGAATCAAACAATGCAGACAAGAAGAGGAAAAAATTCAGGAATAAAAACAGCAGTAATGCAAATATACACTTTCGTAACTCCTTGCACAGGAATTTACAGCAGCATCCTACAGACATCATTTTTAAGACAGTCAACCAGAAGTTACTGTGTATAATTCAGTCATTCTCTCAGGTACACATAATAAAAGCTTTTCACTTTATCAGGAAATGATATTCTAATCTTTTAGCATCATGAGTCACTCTTCATGGAGTTTCTTTTATTTTTTAAATAATTTTGCTTAATCCTCATTTTGTAACATACTCTCTACCTCTTTCTATGTTCTTTATTTTATCATGTATTATTAGTTGAGAAATCACACATTTATTCAGAAGTTTAGATTACCAGAAAGGTACTCTTAAGTCCCAACCCTCCCAAAACTAGGGAGCCACTGATTTAATGCATCTGTTTGTCAGATTTTCATAAACATTAGAAAAAAATCTGATTTTTCATAAGGTGAGAATGACTAATTCTCAGAGTGGGGACATTAGAGAAAGTGGAGACAGCCTGGCACTGAGGGTTCTTTTCCAGTCTATGGCAGTGCCTCTGAATGACTCCTTCTGTGCGTCAGAAATCTGGAGCAACAGCGGCAATTAGGGAAGATCGTCACAATCACTGAAGGTTCAGGAGTGTGTGGGGAGGTAAGGGACAAAGGAAATGGGGAGGAGGAAGGTGAGAGAGGAGGGAGGGCGAGCCGGGCACATCCTGCAGAGACGAGCCCTGCACACTCATGACATCATCCTCTCCAACATACATATATAGGGAATGGCCACAGCACCCCTCAGAGTTCACTCACATTCCAAGCCAGCTCTGAGGAGAGAGCTCTGAGGGGAGCCCCTTCACGGTCTTGCTGGCTTTCGTGCACTTGGCCTGGCAGAAGGCAGAAGGAGATGATGGCAGGAATGAAAATCCAGCTGCTCTGTGTGACACTCCTGGCTTTTGGCTCCTGGGGTCTGTGCTCAGGTAAGCTGCGTCTCCCATCTCCCTGAGGGAGTCCTCTGGCCAGATGCTGCTACTGAAATGAATGAATCAAAGGGAAGAGTTTCTCCCACTTATTCAGAATTTGCCTTACTCATAGTAATAGAAGCTGGGAATTCATCGTACTCTGTGTTTGTAAGAACTGGAAGGTTTATTTTCCTTTTGGAAATCTGCAAAGTAACGAAAGGGAGTTCAGTGAAACACAGCATGCCCTTCTCTGCGATAGAGAAGGTAGAGAAAGGGAGACAGGCATAAAACTTTGGATTAGGTTGGTCGTTGTCTAATGAGGACGGGGCTGTGCTGCCTAAGTGGTGATTTATTGTTAAAATTCACTCCACTTAAAACGTTCTCCTCTCATTCCCACTCCCTAAGCAAGCTGCGGTTTGCCCCTTTCCCCTTTTTGTAACTGTCCACAAATTGTTCTTAACTGCATGTGTTAGAATATATACAATAAACATTGGGGGATAAGTGAATGAAACATTTGTAAAGTTATTTCTAAAAACATACAAAATATGCCTAATCTTTTCCAAGCAAATGCAGTTTCCACTCTTTGCGACTAACAGGTATGATATTAACATTATTGTTTGGGTCTTTTATTATGTCATATAAGTTGATGTGAAAAGTAATTGGAAAATTGGTATTTTTATATTACTGGTAATATTTAATTTTTTACTATTTTGAACATAGTAGTTGAAGAGAAGCCAGACAATAATCTACCCAGGAAATAATATTTAAATTTAAAGAAGTAACATAAAATATTATAATGAGTGCACTATGATCCATTAATATTGAAAAAATAATTAAAGTGGAAAATGGTATAAATTCAGCAAAAGAATTTAACCCTGTTTTATCCTTTTCTTTCCCATAAATGTGACACTGAACTGTTTAATTCAAATGTATGATATTTATTTTAGGTATGAAATTAAAATCCAGCAGAACATACGAATGTGATTTATGCAAAAACTTATGTTTTTATTGGAAAAAGACTTGTATTTCTAATTTTGCAAAATCTGCCATAAGAAAAATATTAACTTCCTTACAAGTATGAGTTCATCAGACAAGAGTAAAGCTTAACTTAGAAGTGTATGATAGCAGGTGGTTAATGAAATGCTGTGAGTATTATCTTCTGATACTACCTGCTATGATAAGCCCACAATTTGTGAAAAATTTGGTGTACTTTGTTCAAAAATGACTAATGGAGCTTGCTATTTCTTTTGAAAAAATATTACATCACTGATAGAGAGAAAATAACCTACAAAACAATTTCCAAGGCTCAATTCACAAATGACGTCTCCATCTGTAGTTCTCTTTCAGAATCACTTTTACCTTTTGCTTTGTTTTGTCACTATTTGCTCAATGAATGTGAACCAAGTCACCTCGTTATGCAACTTTTCTCTATTACTCTGTAGTATTTTCTAAATGGTTCCTCTCTGTTTAATCTGGCTCACGGGTGGAAACTTGAAGATACTGTTTTAAAAAATTCAGAAATCCATGTTCAATACAACTTTACATATGTCAATGAGCAGGTCCATTTTGCTTAGACGCTTTATTTCCTTGTGATAAAGTTGCAGTGTGTGCAAAACTTAAAGTTCTTGTTTAAAGTAGAAACCAGGTCTTTTAAAAATGGTTTTGTGAAACAGCTACTCTAGTGAAATAAATTTCAGAATCTTTCTTTTTTCTCAAATAATCAATATGAAATTCCCTTTGACTTTGTCTTCCCAAAATCTCAGACTCATATTTTCATTATGCTGTTTATTAAGCATCAGAATAGAAATAGCACAAACTATTACCAGTAGAAAATCAACTGTACCTTTGTACAATACATTCAAGTATTATTTCTGAAATTCAAACATTGAACAAATCTATATCAGAAGTAGTTCTTTTGGCAAATAGCCATGTGCTAATGTTGAGAAGCATTTCTAATCCATCTGCCTGTCAGCCTAAAATTAAACTACAATTTTTTTTTCCTGAATACTGTTTTAAAGAACATCAATACATAAGAAAGCTACCAAAATTCTATGACTTTTTTGATGAATTTAAAAATCTGTGGGTTACAATATAATTAGATGATGTGTGATTATATAGTGTTACTAAACATGTGGTTTTGATTTTATTCAGATTCTGAAGAGGAAATGAAAGCATTAGAGGCAGATTTATTGACAAATATGCATACATCAAAGGTAATCTTTTTCTTTTCTTTAACTCAGCATTGCAGGATATATGAGCTTTATTATATATATGGCCTTGTTTTCTTATTGGAATAATTTCCCAACAAGACAGAAAACTCCCTTGTGAGGCATTTGCTTTTGAGAAAATTCTTTGAGCTTTAGGATGCTAAGAGCTTTGACATGACAGGAAAATCAACTCCAGTGAGAATCAATCAGCATGAATAATTTCAATTATGGAGTCACATAAAACTTACGTGGACTTCAAAATATAAAGGGGCTGTTTCCATTCTTATTAGAGGGTATGTGATGAAAGGTATATTGACTTCAACTTAAATGCCTGAATGAAACTCAAGTGAACTTTTTGCTTCTTCTTATTATATTTTGGGAAAAAAAAGGTTTTCTCCGTGAAAAATAACTGCTCATGACAGCCTGTGAAGAAAATGTGCTAGAGGGTAGAGAGCTACCAGCTGGCCAACAGGAGTGCTGCGAGCGGATCTTGAGGCTGTTATTTATGCCCCATTTGATCTTAAGCAATTTGATAAGTCAACATGACTTAACCTTGTTTCTTTATATTTAAATGCAGCAATTACGATTTATGCTGCCCAAGAAATTTATAGTGTTCTATAATGTACTTAAAACTTATAAACTGTGCTCTTTAACATAAGTATCATCTGTACAAGCTAATTGGTTCATTGAACCAAAGCAAGGTTTGCACCCCGAGCCCTATCCATCATTTCCTGGGATAGTGACAGCAAGTTTTCTAGTTCTCAGCCTTTGCCTACAAATAAATCTCAATTAGAACATACGCTTACTATGCTGCCATACAACACTGAGTGACTCACAGTTATTCAATCAATGCTTATCTACTTGTGTGTTCAGGACAAAGATTTCCAATCAAAAGGTAGCTCTCAAGGAAAACCATGTCGGTATGGCAGACACTTGGTAAAATCCTGGAAAAAGCACTATCATACCAAGATTTCTGCCTCAGTGGATGTTACAGTAAGAAATTAAATGCTGGCCTAAATTCTGAAGCAATATGTATCCTGAATCTAGTTCTGCCTTCTATTGGTTGACTTTCCTGCCAGGATGGACATTTCAGGGACAACTGTCTCAAGTGTACAAGTAAGACCATGTTATGCTTGAGGGTGGATGCACAAAAAGGTCGATTTTACATGTGTTTGAGGGTAAAAGGCATTTTTACCTCAAAAATAACAGATATTTTTTCTCATGTTTTTCTTAAAAAATAGTTTGAGGAAATTGAAGGCCAAATGTATCTCAAGGTGGCCCCAGTCCACAAAAATCAGTTGTATTGTAATAAAATGCTACCATCATTTGGTAGATCTATATCAGAAATGATGGAATTGAGTTTAGTCAATAAAAGTTAAAGATAAATTTATTTATTATGTGATAAGAGATACTTACCTGTATGGTTATAATCAATTAAATTCAAAATTAATATCTCTTGGAAAATAAATTAGATTGAAAGAACTTAATGTCTTGATATATGCTTGATTCTTGTTGTTCCAAATGTACATTGATGCGTAAGGTCCTAAGTAGTCTCCAAAATGTTATAGTTTTGGGAGTGTGAACTACTTTGAGAACTTATGAGAATGGAACTGGAATTCCTGTCCTGGTGAATAAACTATATTGGGCAAAAAATTCCAGAATGGGATGGCTTCAGCTTATTCTTTATTTTATTTTCCTAATTTTTTAAAATTTTTTATTTTATTTTATTTTTGGCTAACTGGGTTTTTATTTTATTTTATTGAGAAACAAATATCAATGAAACAGTTTCAAAACTGATTAATAGGACAGTTTCAATAATTAATACATTGTACATTGTATCTTCTTAGAGGTTATCTGTAGTACACGATGCAGACAGAATATCCTGTCCACACACTGTTAGTACAAATCTTTCTTCTCAGCAATGCACTGCAAAAGTTGAGGCAGCGTGAATTTTTCTCCATGTTTTATTCAGTCATGGAATATATCTCTGACATAGATTAGGTGGAAAAAGTTGAATTCCCATGCTTCTTTTTAAATGAGATAAATAAGGTTTCATCTATGATAAGTAGGCATTTAAAATTACAATTACTCTCTTTTTTTACTTTTATTTAAAATGATGCTGAGATTTTCCTGTACATACATAAAGTTTATGTTTCTAATACTTTAAACATATTTAAAAATTGCAGCCCTCACAATTTTTTAAAGAGTTGCATCTGTACAAATGATATTAATTTTAAAAAACTATACTGATTTAACATTTTTGACAGCTTTTCCTATATTGCCTGCTTTTAAGTTCAGTTCAGGGTTTTATAAACAAATAACAGCTATAAATTTGAATAACTCATCTATATATCTCAAGAGTATTTTTATATATAATTTCTAGTATAGACATCTGCCTAATGGTCTTTTTAGGATAACAAAAAATAAGTCTGTATATTTTCACAGGAATTTTATTTTTCTTCTTAGAAAACAAAGTTTATAGAGCTGTGTTTTATATTCAGATTAATTCTGAGCTTGCTGTCCCAAAGTACTTGAAGTGCAACTTTTGCTGTATTTTATATATCTTCGTATTCTCGGATCGATTTTTAAATATTATATTGTCTTCTTTTGAGTTTCATTTTCATCCTTTTCCTCTTCATTCATGCCATCAATTACAACACCTTCGAAATTTACTTAATATAGGGTAGAATTAGCCCCTCTTTACTATGTTTTAATTTTTCTAAACATTCTTGTTCACTGTTCTTCCCCACCCTCATCTTTCCAAATTAACTTAATTACATCGCCAAATCTGCTCTACAACTTCTAGTCATTCCATTATTTTTAAAGTGCTATTAAGGGCCTGGGGAGATGACTCAGTAGAATAAATGCTTCCCTGGAAAGCGCAAGGGTCTGAGTTCAATCCCGGTTCTGAAAAAAAAAAAAAAAAAGTCATGAATTTGCAATTTCATTACAATTTCAGAGTAATTCAGGGACAATTGTCACTTGATATTGTTGTTATTGAGTTTTACCATGATGTTTTTGTGGTCTTTTATACCCTTCTTTAAATCTCTTAGAGGAAAAATTCAGGTAATCCTTCTACATTTTTTGATGTTTTTGTTAAATTTTGTTAATTATTTTGCAATCAGGTATTCCTACCTCTATTTCTTATTAATAATTGTTGACATGCAAAAAAGTTGTTGACTATGTTAGTTATGATTCAGACAAATATTATTAGAAAGCAAAACCCCACAGACCATTTTAACTTATGAATAATTAAATTGGTCAGCTGTGATATCACTTATGACAAATATTAATGTGAACTATTAAGTGGTTTCATATTATTGTATTCATCCAATTTTATTAGTATCACCTTAATATCTGATTCATTAGACACTAAACTAAAAATGATAAAGAAATAGCAGTGATTTTTGAATCTGTAGTGTTCTCCTCTAACATATATATACATATGTATGTATATAGACAAATATACATATATGTTACATATACATATATGTATATATATACACATGTGTAAATTAAATGTCATTTTGTCTTATTTTTTGGGTCTGTATGCATGGTTACATGTAACTTTATTGTATTCTATTAAACAAGAGAATAGATAGGTAGTCACTAACAATATTATTACACTGACTATGCAAGAGCAATAATTAGACCCTAAATTATAATGTTTTAACACAATAGAAATATATCTCATTTCTGTAACACAAGCTTAAATTGCAATATCATTTTTGATGCACTGCAGGTCAGTAAAGCAAGTGCCCCCTCTTGGAAAATGACCCTGCTGAATGTCTGCAGTCTTATAAACACCCTGAGCGGCCAGCCTGAGGAAGGAGGAGAGATCCATGAAGATGAGCTGGTCACCAGAAGGAAACTCCCTGTCGTGTTGGATGGCTTCAGCTTGGAAGCAGTGCTGACAATATACCAGCTTCAAAAAATCTGTCACAGCAGGGCCTTTCAACACTGGGAGGTAAAAGGAAAACAAAACCTGACTCTGGTTGAAATTAGACTGGTCAACTCTCCTTAGTAGTGACTTTTGCATTGTGCTTATAGGATAATTGCAAGACTCACAAGGGTTTAGAAGACAATAAACTGTGTTGGGGTCAACATTCTTTCAAATCTTCACCACTTCCTTTTCGAATATTGGAAGTTAGTAAAATAATTTTCCTTCAGCCTTAGAAAAGACATCTACCCTAAGACAAACTTGATCCTTATGCTTTAAATGGCATACTTAGGCACTCTTTGTCGTTCATGGTAGTTCTGGAGGCATGTCTATGAAACTTAAGGAAATCCACATACTTTCCTCAAAATAGAGTCATATGTGCTTTTCTTGGATTTTTTAAAAAAATAATTTTATTGGTACCTTCTAGATACACATAATGATAACATTCAGCACATGGAATTTGTACCTGTGCATTGTACATCTTGAGTCTTCTTCCTTTTTCTTTTCCTTTTCTCATGTCTCTCTTTTCTGCTCTTTTCCTTTATAAAGGCTTTGTCTCCATTATTCCTTCTGTTTTCTTTTTTCCCTTTTCCTTTCATTCCTTTGGAATATTTGAAGTAACTGAATAAGGAAATTTTATTTGTCCTACCTAATATCTAGAGATAGCTGCTTGTAATTCAGGAAATTATCTTAAAGCAACCAGTAAGTTTTCCCTGAGTTTATGCAATTTAAACATACAGCAGCACATTTATGAACCAACACAGAATGAAATGATCCAAGTATTCTAAGCCTAGCCTGTTGGATATCTGTACCTATCAAAGTCATGCTTATCTTTAATTCCATGTGGCTGCCAATCAGGTTTTCTGAAACAGATGTCTTCTACAGTTTTCCATTGTGGATATGCAATCTAAATTCTGATATATAAAACATTATCACTTCTGTATTTCCAAAGTTAGGTTCAGTTCCACAAATACTACTTCTAACTTGACTCTTTTCTCCTTTATCAAAGAATAGAAAAGTAAAACCTTAATTTAGAAAGACATTTAATATACACCTACCTTTAAAATCAAATATTCCAAAATTGAGCAAGTTGACAATTATTTGAAATAATATACTCAAAACCATCTTATGGTTATAATCTTGCCTTTAATAGTACGTGTTCAGAGATGACTTAGAGCTTTGGAAAAATAGGGTAGTACGTTTAGGGTAAAAAAGGGAAGGGGAGAAAGGAAAGAAATCCTTGAGAAAAGAAAACATAAAATATACTTCAAAATTTTCCCAATAGGGGAAACTTTCATTTTCAGAATAACTTTCAAGAGAAATTTGCTTATGCTATGAGTTCTGAAGTGACTTATGCCTTTGAAGGCCTGGGGGTCCTTCCTTGCTAACGTAACCAAGTTGTGACTGCCCCAAGATGTCTGTGGAGCAGAGGAAATGCATGTAGAATGTCTAGTGTTTATTCTAAGGGTTTACAGAAAAGATGCTTTCCAGATGAAAAATCAAAAAGACCAGTTTTCATTTCACTTGCTGAACTGTTCACCCTTTAATTTTAATTCAAGCTAAATGGCTTATTCTTTAAAACATTGTTTAGGTCAATAAATCTTGAAAATACAAATCTCAATTTGGGGAAATGTCAATTGTATGGTATTTATCCAGAAAAACAAAACAAAACAAAACAAAAAACACCCTCTCACTAAACTCTTAAGCGTTAAATCATGTGCAAGTAAGATTTGAATTTTTGCTATTTTAAATGTTATTCAGTGATTTAAAAATAAACTAATATCAGTCTAAGCATAGTACAACTAATTACAGACTGTGCAGAGATAAAGAAAAGATGACGAAACTAGATTGTCTGACAGTAGCTGGTTTTCCTTCTCTGAAACTGAATAGCTGTGGGTTGAAATGAAATACTTGGTGATAGATATTACACATCTGCATTATAATTTAAGTGTCTGTATTAGTTATAGTGACCCCAGAGATTAGAAGATAATCACAATCTAAGGAGCTCTAATCCACTTAAATAGAGCTTTACCACATGTGGATATCTTCAACAACAAAATCAGGCAAAGCCAAGCATTCCTTTCTATGATTGAAAAATGGGTGTTTGGGCCTTTCCAATCAAATCTGTAATTGACTCTGTTGAATATAAAATCTTGTTAACTTTCAGCCAAATTTAGATTAATAGACACAAAACTATATTTGTTATAATATATAACATATTTCATCTCATTTTCATCTTTCTATTATGCATCAAGCATCCAGTATACTGATTTTTAAAAAATTGTTTTCAGTACAATTTATATACACATAATGATCATATTCATTATATGGAATTTGTCCCTGTATATGGTAATTCTTCTTTTTTTTCCCCTGCCCCTCCTGTCAGATATTTTTGGCTGTGTTCCTTCATTTGAAGAGATTAGTATTAGGTTTCAAAGTATTCTGAAATTTTTAAGAACTGCTACACTGGGGCCGGGGAGATGGCTCAGTAGAATAAGCGCTTGCCTGGCAAGCACAAGGGCCCGAGTTCAATCCATGGTTCTGCAAAATCAATCAATCAATCAATCAATCAATCAATAAAATAAAAAAATTTTAAAAAAACCAAACTACTACACTGATGAACTAGGAAGGTCACCGAGTCAGAAGTATCATGTTTAATTCCATTTAAGCCATTTAATACCTGTCTGTCCTTTCACAGAACAACTTCTTAGATCACACATATGTTTTGCTGTCTATATAGCAAATAAGATAAAATATACAAGATGTCTAACATGCTGAATTTTACCCAAGGAGCCTTCATTCATATTCTCTATATCTTGCAGATAATTCAGGAAGATATTCTTGAGAATGGAAATGATAAAAATGAGAAGGAAGAAGTCATAAAGAGAAAAATTCCCTACATTCTGAAAAGGCAACTGTATGAGAATAAATCCAGAAGACCTTATATACTCAAGAGAAGTTCTTACTACTACTAAGAAGATAAATACTTTATTTTCATGTGGTTGTGATCTATCATTCTTTACATATCTAATTATATTTGTGTGAAAATGTGACAACATGTTTATTTTGTCCCTTCTACAAGTGTGGCTTATTGGTTGTATTTTAATTCTGGATTAATAAAAACTGGGCAAATGTTTTCAAATAAATCTAGATCTTGAGCATGATGTGTTATATATAATTGGAATAGATATTAATCATGCTTCATATAACATTTTGTGATTTTTCAAAACAAGTTATAAGTTATTTAAACATTCAAAATGTATGACATTTTATATGGAATTATAAGACAGTATAACAACATATAACAGCAAAGTTTAACCTACATATCATTAGCCAAAATCAAAGTAACGACAACTCTTGTTATTTGATTGTTTTATTGTATTGAGAGAAATACTTTTTTCCAACACTTAATTATATATCTCTGAGCTCTAAGGAAAAGTACTGTGGTGAAATAGGACTACAGGAAGAAATGATTAATGAACTATTGTTAATTATGCTATTTTGGTGAATGAGCTTCAAGTTAATGTTTTGTCTGTTAAATGAGTTTGATAGCTAATAAAAAGACAACCTGCCATCAGAACTACCTGCTTCTTTGTATATTTATTTCCATTAAAAGAGTTAGTTTACATATAACACTCCCAACAAACCAAAGCAAATAGTCATGATAAGCAGGAAGACATTTCTTATCCTGGTTATAACAGTTTTATTTTTAGTATCTCTAAAGGACCTGAGTGATTAATATTTTTCCAGATTAGGAGAGTATACTTGAAGCAAAAGCTATACTTCAGATAACCTCTTTTCAATTTCCTTTAGCATACTTGCAGTCTCATAAACTACCGCCTTTCCATCCCAACAATAGTAGTGCCTTTTTTGATTCTCTCTGCTGTGGGGTGGGAGAGTCTATCTAGGAAGACCTCAACTCTGTGAGAGTCTGAGAATGTTGTCTCTCCATGTGACTGTCCTTAGGCACACTCTACATCATTGA